CTGTTCAGGGTCACTATGGGTCAGAACCGACTCGATGGCACCTAACAACAATTCCTTCCATATTTGTTTGATACTTCTTACATCCTTCCATATTTTGCCCATAGAATCCTTCAATTGAATTTTTTCTTCAGTTCTTTCAGCTGACAAATGGTGAGTATGCTCTTCCTTTTTGGTTTTGTAACTTCAGGTCTTTGCACTTGGATACTTGACTTTGCACTTTATAATGCATGGTTTTGCCTTCTCGAACTGCCTTTTAAATTTTCTATTCAGCTTTTACTTCCTCATTTTGCTTCCAGTCACTTTAGCTTCCCTAAGCCCAAGAGCAAGTTTCAGAATTTCTTCTAATATTCATTTTGGTCTTTTCCTTCTTTCCTATGTTTCTAATGACCTTTTGCTTTCTTCATGTATGATATTCTCAATGTCATCCACAAGTCTTCTAGTCTTCAGTCATTAGTGTCTAAAGCACCAAATCTGTTCTTAAGATGGACTCTACATTTAGGTGGGATACACTCAAGCTTATATTTTGACTACTGTATTTATTTTAATTGCCTTCAACTTCAGCCTGCACTTGTACAGGAACAACTGATGGTCTGCTCCACAGTCAGTCCTCAGCCTTGATACTGAGCAGATGTAGTCAATTTATTTCTTTGTAGTCCATCTAGTGAGGTCTCCATGTATAGTCGCCATTTATGTTGTTGAAAAAAGGTATCTGTAATGAATAACTCCTTGGCCTTGCAAAATTCTATCATGCAATCTCCAACATAACTTCTTTTAAGAAGGCTATATATTCCAACTACGGATCCTTCCTCTTTATTTCCAACTTTTGCATTCTAATCACCAGTAATTATCAATGCATTTTATTGCATGTTTGATCAATTTCAGACTGAAGAAGTTGGTAGAATTCTTCAATTTCATCATCACTGGCGTTAGTGGTTTGTGCATAAATTAGAACAATACTGACATCAACACTAGTTAATTCTTGTAGGTGTATGGATGTTATCCTATCACAGACAGCATTGTACTTCAAAACAGATCTCCAAATGCTCTTTTTGATGGTGGATGTGATGCCATTCCTCTTCAATTTGTCATTCTTGGAATAGTAAACAATATGATTTTCTGATTCAAAAATGGTCAGTCAGTACCAGTCCATTTCAGCTCACTAATGCTTATGAAAAGATCTTTATGCATTCCATTTCATTTTTGACAACTTACAATTTTCCTTGATTCATACTTCATACATTCCACAGTCCAATTATTAATGAATGTTTGAAGCTTTTTCTTCTCATTTTGAGTTGTGCCCCATCAGCAAATGAAGGTCCTGAGAGCTTTGCTCCATCTATGTCATTAAGGTCAACTCTCCTTTGAGGAAGCAGCTCTTCTCCAGTGGAATTTTGAGTGCCTTACAACCTCAGGGGCTCATCTTTGGGCATTGCATCAGACAATGTCCTGCTGCTATTCATAATGTGTTCAGTGGCTAAACATTCAAAATGTCCCACCTCTCCTCCTTCCTGTTGTTACTGTTGTTAAGTGTCCTCGAGTCGATTCCAACTCATAGCAACACTGTACAGGGTTTCCCAGGAACAGCTGGTGGATCAGAACCTCCAACCTTTTGGTTCACAGTCCAGTGCTGATCCTACAGCACCACACCAGGAGTCCTAGTCTGTCTTCATTTCAAAGCTCCAATAAAAGCTGTCCACCAGCCTTTCCCCACGTGGTCTCACCCAGGATGGCGGTTCTTGGAGCAACCGGGCTTCCCGGACTGGAAAGCAGTGGATTTCTTTCTTCTGCCACAAATTCTCCCAGCTGGTTTTTGAGGTTGTAAATCTCCACAGAAGCAAACAGCCTCATCTTTCTCCCTTGGAACAACTGAAGATGTGGCTTTGGAAGGTGTGGGACACTTCTTCCGTGAGTTGGCAAAGGAGAAGTGCAAGGGTGCTGAGCGTCTCTTGAAATTGCAAAACCAGTGTGGTGGTCGTGTACTCTTCCAGGACGTGCAGAAGCCCTCCCAGGATGAGTGGGGAAGAACCTTGGACTCCATGGAAGCCACCCTGTTCCTGGAGAAGAACCTGAACCAGCCTCTTCTAGATCTGCACGCTGTGGGTGCTACTCACACAGACCCCCACCTCTGTGACTTTCTGGAGAACAATTTTCTCGATGAAGAGGTGAAAATTATCAAGAAGATGGACGACCACTTGACTAACCTCCGTAGGATGGCCGGTCCCCAGGCAGGGCTGGGCGAATATCTCTTCGAGAGGCTCATTCTCAAGCATGACTAGGAAGAGCCTGTGGAGCCCCGTAACCTGTGAAGGGCCTTTCAGCCTTCCCCTGCTCTCTGCAGACCTTCTGCCTGAACC